CCTACAGCGAAAGCTTCATTTTATTAGTCCCAAGCCAATTCAAGGCTTAGTAAGGTTCAACTCTTTTTTGGACTCGCTTAAATGTTTGTGGATTAGTTTTACTTTGTTTTAATAGCTTACCAGAATAGCTTGCTGAGTTAGGAACTATTGTTTAAGAGAGTAGTTTCTTGGAAAACTGATTCAGTCTCCAAACAATAGTTCCTAACTCAGTAAGCTATTCTGGTAAGCTATTAAAACAAAGTAAAACTAATCCACAAACATTTAAGCGAGTCCAAAAAAGAGTTGAACCTTACTAAGCCTTGAATTGGCTTGGGACTAATAAATGAAGCATTTCGCTGTAGGAACTCAGAGTTTGGAAGGACAGCAAGCATCCTATTTTGTCATTAAGAAGTATAGGGAGAAGTGATGCCCATTTAGCTTTGAACAGGCCACATTTCACAAAGAAATGGTCACGCACCACGGAGAATAGGGACTCCCTCCTAGGATCAGGAAAAAGTCTCTATTCTTCGCCTCACAATAATTTCTTCAAATCCTTAAATTTGGAATCTCTGAGCCCCTCTCATTAAAAGACGAATAAAGGGCGCTGAAACTAAGCTCGTAACATTTTGGAGCTCAGGAGGACTACTCGGCAAAATTGGGATAACTATGGCTGGATAAACTTTCCATCACCAGAATGTCTCGTATACACAGAGTCTGGAGATGTATTGAGACCCAAATCGTGCAGGAATAACCACTCAAAAAGTCGCCCCATATCTCCAAGGTTTCTTGGTCCAATAGCAACATAGTAGGATCACGGCTAAAATTATTGAAAGAAAATAGCAAATAACAAAACAACAAAGTAATTTCGAAAAAAAGCAAAAAAAAACGAAACGGCCAAAGGTTCACTGTTTCGATTTTCCGAAATAAACTTAATAAACTTTCGGAGCTTAGCACTGCTGTTGACTCCGGCTGCTAAACAATTTAGAAATTATGTTGCTCTGGGACAGCACAATACTCAAACAAAGCCAAACAACGGCCAACTAAATAAAAAAATCACTAGAATATATGTGGACTTCGAGGGAGCTGAGGACTTTTCTGTCCAAATTTCACCGAGTCGAGCCGCTCGCTAGACAACTGTTACTCTCTCGCGTCGCGTAAGCTCTAAATGCGTGGCTATGTAGGAGAAAAATGGGACAGAGAGTATGGCTTTATATGAGAGTGGAGGTTGAGTGGAGGCTATCTGAACACAAAGGAAACGCTGCCGAGTAGCAACTGTCCGGGGCTGAGCGCAGTTAGAAAGCGTACGCGAAGAGAACATCACAGAAAGAGACGTTACAGAGAAAACGATTGTCAGAGACGCAGCAAAAAAGCGCAAGGGGTGCACGGTATTCTAATTAAATTGAGCAGGGCTATGCGGCCAAGCCGAGGCGCAAGTGCAATGGTTTCTCTGGTCATTTTCTGCAGGAAAGTGCTTTGTCAGTTCTCACAGTGGTTCTCATCCAGTACCACCAACCCCTTGCACTTTCTCGAAATACTTTTTCGCGGTCTTCTTGTCGGTAGAAGTGTTCCCTTTTCTTTATCACTTCTTTCTTCATATTCTTACACATTTTTTCAAGCTTATAGTTGAAATCGTTTTCCTACACATTCCTCATTTCCAATCGCTCATATATTCCCCAGCTGGCGGACCTGCGTTCGTTTTTAGGCAAATCTTGCCAACCCTTGATAAAATCCCTTAAATTTCGGTCCCCATGCTCTAACAGGAGCTTCACCTGTCCATGGATTATCACTTGACAATTGCCTTTGCAGCTGGTGTGCCCTGTGCTTTGTTGTAAATCGTTTTACAACGTGGACGCACGCTTTCTCATATATTTTTCGACATGGCTTTTGAATCTATTTAAGAAATTCCCTTTCAAACACATGTTTTATGACTTTTAGCTCATCAGTATTCTCTCAAAGAATCGAGTTATTCCAGCGCTCAATGTTTGGACCTCATGGTCTGCTACACCAGTGATCTCATGCAGTTAATACGCGATGCGCATTGTAAAAATCGATATTTGTTCGTTTTTATCAAGTGCTGGCCACGGCTTCGGAGCCCTATAGTTGGCACCATTCGATTGTTGCAACTGCAAATTGTTAGCTTGTTTTTTTGTTGAAATTTCTTTTATATAAGTTGCTCCGTTCTTCGGTCAGTGAGCACGGGTTTTCTGCTTCCCCTCAAGGCGCCAAATTGGTGTCACCACCTAATAACAAATTCCTGATCACAACTTGCGACTTCACCAGTGTACTTGAAGGAGCCAACCAGGAATGCGACATTCGTTTTCGGGTGGGTGCAATTTAGCTCCAGTTGGGCTCTGGGGGCCCACTTGGCGTCAGGAGTTGCCGAATTCATTGTAAAGCAACATTTATTTATTCATCCATAAACTACGCAGTGTGCTGCTGCAATACACTAAAGAACAAAATTACTTCAAATGCAACTGAGTAAAGTAAAATATATCCTATACTATCATATAAATAGGGTGAATCTTGACGACAGCCATCGCGCTCAACCATTTCAGCGCCCCTTGTAAGGAAGTTCAGTTTATAAGTGAAGTTCTGACGCCTCCTTAGTTTCCCAGCCCACCAAAACAGAAAGCCTCTTTTCTATCACGATTACAGTTTTTATACCATATTTTTCGTTTTTCTTTTTTGTTTTGTGATATTAGCATTGGATGATGGGAAGAAAGTACTAGTAAACCAGAGAAGGCAGAATTTAGCTCTGCTGGCATGAAAGGAGCAAGCAGGCCCGAAGGGCTCGAACGGTGGGACTACCAATGCCTTGCGGAATTTCCTTGATTTTTTTTCCTTTTTTCTTCCTTGACTGTCATATAGCGGCTACAGATATGTAACTGAAGCCACTTCCACAATATGCATTCGCGGGACTTGCCTTTAAATGCTGGGTTGTGGAGTAGCCTTGAAAAACAAGCTCTTTACAATTTATTTATTTATTATTTTATGCGCGCATTATTGCTCCGCTGCAATTTTTTGAAATCGCTAAGTCTACTTGACCACAAAAAAGGTAATAAGATGTCTTGCAATTTCGTGTTCATCTACCTCTAATTGCTCATGACGTACTTATTGCAATATATACGTCTCGATCTATTACACATCGCTTTCGTATTATTTAACCCGGGTTTTCTCAGAAGGTGTAGAGACGCCAAGCTGTGTCGTCGCGGCATCTCTTTAAGTACATTGTAGTACCCTTTACTTGTGGACTCCTGCGCCCAACCTTTGCAGATGTCGGCCGGAAGTGGTCACCATAGTCTTATGGGTGGTGCGCCTCACCAAGTCCCTGGACCAAGAACTCAGGTATGTCCCTCATGCTGCTTTACGTTTTTTTCTTGCTTTTTTCATTTTACACATGATTTAACTATTTTGCTGAGCCATTGATTTAGGGATGCTTTTCAAGTGTTTCTAAAATTGTTTCGTGGGGCCAGGTTTGAAAGTGGGAGAGAGTGAGAGAGAGAGAGAGGAGAGTAG